ACTCGCTGAGCCCACACCAGCCTTCTTCGGCCTGCAAAAGTTGCCTGGGCTTTACCAATGAAATCGAGAAGATGTTCTTTTTTTTTTTTGGGTGGGGGGGGGGAGCGGGCCTGCATAGTGTTCCGATACGTACCTCTAAGAGACCCTCAGCAGATGCAGGGCTGAAGCTGATGAGACTTCACCAACATGTGCACTTGTTTGTGGTCCGCGTGTATTAGTTTCCTCCTGCCTGAGTATCGTACTGATTCAGGTAACTGATTGCTGGCTCGAAAAAAGCCTGTAGTTTCTGACGGTCTTGCAGTACACCTCGCCTGACCTGGTCGAGTGCGAGTCAGCCTCAATCCAAACCTTCGGAGCAGGCCTCACATTTCCATAGATGGCCAAACCTCCCAGGCTGACAGCCAATGGAAATAACGGCACGCAGAAAGAACGAAAGAAAGACATAAGAAAGAATTAACGAAATATTGTACTACTGACATGAAGAAGGAGAGAAAGGGAGCAACACTAGAAACCAGCGTAGCATGGTCTTAAGGAGAGCACGGCCGAGACAAGAGAACCCAAATCGTGAGCGCCGAAATTCTAAAAGACAAATCAGGCACGTCACGCAGGGCTCCAAGTGGCGAGAGATCGAAGTCGTCGAGACTACGTATGTGCTGTTCAAGGCGGTCGTTCATACTCTTCATAAGTATCGGGTCATGTTCGGGTCGGTGGTAGCATGTGGTTTAGGGCTTAAGGTTTAGGGTCAAGGGCTGGGGATAAGTAACCCCGTAGTATCAGATGTGCGAATGGAATGATGCTTTCCCTCCAGGGTCCCTTTACCTCCAGGGGGTTTAAGGCTGCATCGTTCGGCATGTGTCCCTGCTCCAAGTTCGAAATCGTGTAAGGTGATCCCCGCGTGTAACTTTATATCCCAAGCCTCCATGCCCGTACTTGCCGTACTTGGTCTAGGTTCAAGTGCAGGGGATTCAGGGATTATGGCGAACCGCCACGTGTTCTGCTACGGGGTCAGCTGGAACAGATGCCTCAGCACAATATTCTGTCTATGTGCCAGGAGCAGTTATTGAGGACAACGCACCAGGGAGCCTTGTTCGATAATTTTGCATCCATAACCGGGATCCAATATTCTGTGGAATCTTGTATTACACTCGCTCAGAGATGTGAAAGAAGAGCCAAACCCTTCCCAGATCAACCGTGGATGCTGAACGCCTTCGAACCACAGCGTCCAACAGACATCTTTCGCAAAGCAGCACGCCCATACCTTAGGCCTTGATACCCGAACCCTGTCGTCCCCGTTAAAGCCGGAAGCAACATAAATCCACACAGAACCAAGCACTCAAACCCTCAAACCGTGTAATTAAGCCCTTCGAGCCTTTGAACAGTTGGCTCAGGCCATCCGCCCCCTGGCATTGGTCCAGGACGCTTTTATCCAGTGCCTCGGCTTATTTAAGTTCATCCTTGACCACACACACACAGCTACTGGTACACACAGACGCACGCGCACGCTCACGCGCGCGCACACACAGACGCAGACACACAGACACACAGACACGCAGACATACAGACACACAGACACACAGACACACAGACACACAGACACACAGACACACAGACACACAGACACACACACACACACAACCACACACACACAAAAACATGTACATTATGTGCGCACATGTACTAGGCAGACGATATATTTGGTTTATGAACATGTCCATGCACATGCGTATGTATGCATGCATGTATGTATGTATGTATGTATGAATGTATGTATGTATGTATGTATGTATGATCATGTATGTATGATCATGTATGTATGTGTGCATGTGTGTATGGACCGATGCATGCATGCATGTGTTTATGTACCTACAGATGCAAGGCACTTGCTTGAGTGTTGGTATCTTTTACAGCAGCGACACCTGTTCCCTAGACGGACAAACCGGAAGTTCCGGAGTGCGAGCAAACGGCCTGGTCCGGTGCGGCTGAAAACATGGAGTTTACTATTCATCTACTTTTAATTATTCAGGCCATATCCTAAACAACTCTATATCGATTTGAAGCACCCAACAACCGTGAAGCCTAACACCCAAAGCCCCGAAGCGATTACAGAAACCCGCAGAAGGCAATCCTCAAGCCACTTTAAACCAGGCTCTCCACATACCTCTGCGTCTGGAGCTATGTGAAGTCGGAGGTCGGTTGGGGATTCCGGGTTTGGGGTTGTCCCGATAATTTCAATAGGGTTCCTTTAAGGCTTAAGGGTTCTATACTAAAGGACCCTTAATGTTTAGAACAGGGTTTTGGGGTACTTTATATTTGACCCTTAACCCCTAATCAAAACGCAAAATAGGTGCTTTTATAGGATCCCGCGGGTTCAGGGCTGCCGGGTTCTGATGAAAGTACATGCGGTAGGGTTTATTGTTCACGGGGTCCTTCTATTATAGAATAGGGTTTCCAATGGTCAATGGTCACTTCTACATCCGGCGATTGGGCTCCTCTTCTCATGTGTCCGCATGTTTGGAGTTCAGGCTGTGGGGTGTAAGGCTGATGCAAACCCGAAAGCCAAAACCCCAAGTTCCCTGGCCTTTTAGGGTTTAGGGTTTCGGGCCTTACAGGGACAGGAGATAAACAAAAACAACAAGAAAGACTAAGTCGAACCGAAGCTGTGCATCAAACCGAAGAAGAGCAGGAAACCCCGCGACGTATGTGAACACATCCGAGTCCGTGTGATCACGTCTGAGTCGCGTAGTATCACGCCTAAGTCTTTCGAGCATAGCTGCGCAGCTGTGCGCTGAGTGAGTCTCGTGAGTGATGTGTGCGTGACAGGCGCACTTTACCTGATTGTACCGCCTTTTCGGAGTCGAAGTTGGCGGTGTCACATGCACGGCTGCTACACGCATAGCGGCTATTCACCGGGCAAATCCGCGGAGCCCCGAAGCAAACAAAACCTGAGGAAACTTTTCTGTTAAACAACCCCTCTTCTCCCGTCGTGAGGCTTTCAGTTTCTCGGTCTAGATGCCAGTACTGTATTGTCACAGCCAGGGTTCCTGCCTGCAACCTGCAGGGTTCAACCTTCCTAGTGGTTCCAACATGGGCGACATTCAAGCTCAAATCTCAACATCTAGCCAACCTAGCCTTGATCTTATCTAAACTCCAAGCCAAGCCCACAAACCTGACATCCAGACCTTTCGTCTGCAAGTCCAGATCTCATGTTGTGGGTTTTGGGGCTTATCGGGCCTGGAACAGAGGTGGCGCCAAATGCTGGCGCCCAGCCTGCACGGCCCTTCCACGTGCGCTTGCGACGGGGGCTCTGGCGGCGGCTTAGAGAAATATAGAAGCTTCACTAATTAACTGCTTCTGATATTCCTCAGAGGAACTTGTTATATCTACAGTTTAACGAACCCTCAACCCCTATGCCAATTTTAAGGCTTCTATATTAACCGATTTGGGTCTCACCCGGAGATCCTCTGCTGGATTGAGTGTGACGAGAACTGCAGCTTCGCACGGCAGCCCTGAGCGCGGGCCCGGCGAGGAGCATGTCAATACACGTCTGATGAGAAATTTTTTTGGGGGGGGGGTAATAAGTTGAACAGGGTTTGGATTGTATTACGGAAGCCTGAGGAGTAACCTTGGTAATGACCCCCACATCTATGGTATGCGCGTTGAGTTGTAGATGTTGGGGGCCATGCCGCGACAAGAAGTTTCTGCAGTCGGCGGGTAATCGTGAGGGGAATATGTCGAGGATTGACTTTGGGGACTTCTCCCCCAATGTTGTATAATATTAATATACTGTTGTAAAACGATAAGATGCTACAAAATCCATAACAACCAGGAATCTATTACAAAATACTCGTCCCAACCAAGATCCTGAAAGCGAGGTCTTGGCTGAAGTATCTTCGACAGCTGCCGGTTTGCCTCTTCTGGAACTGGTTCTACCTCGACGTCTTGCCGAATGTGCCTTTCATAACCCAAAAGAAAACTGAATACTGAGCAGCCTTACAGTAAGCTTCATGGTAAGGCCCACGGCAACCGTTAGAGAACCCTATATCCCGTATTAAAGCCCGTAAATGCTGTCTTGAGTGTGGCAGAAACTCGCACGGCCCTGAGTACTCGCACTGCCGATAGACATATACAGATTTATATGTACACATGTGTACGTAGATATGCATTCGTGTTTTACTGTGTGTGTAGAGGAACTGTAGAGTTTCGTGGTGCCTGCCTGCCTGCCTGCCTGTCTGCCTGCCTGCGTTTGCCTGTCCGTCTGCGTCTGTCCGTCTGGTTGTCTGTCTTGCTGGCACATTTGCTTGTGCATGGACATAAGTATATATATATATATATGTATGTATGGTATGGTATGGTAT